ACTTGATGTTCAGAATGACATCAGCCACTCCTAAATCCTTCATCTCAAAGCAATGAGATAGGAAATCCTTGACCTCCTTAATAACCTTCAGATTTGTTCCGAAAATCAGTATGTCATCAACATACAAGCAAAGGATAACTCCCACGCCGCCACCATGGCGATAGTACACACATTTATCTGCTTCGTTTACAACAAAGCATGCGGCTGTTAAAGTTCTTTCAAACTTATCATTCCACTGCTTGGGTGCTTGCTTAAGTCCATACAGAGACTTCAACAACTTGCACACTTTTCCTTCCTGACCATCTACTACAAACCCATCTGGTTGTTCCATATAAATTTTCTCTTCCAACTCTCCATTTAGTAAAGCAGTATTAACATCCATTTGATGAACGAGAAGACCATGTGAGGCAGCTAGTGAAAGTAGTACTCGAATAGTGGTCAGTCGAGCCACAGGTGAGTAAGTATCAAAGAAGTCTTCACCTTCCTTTTGGGTATAACCCTTAGCCACGAGTCGTGCCTTGTACTTTTCGATAGTACCATCAGGCCTAAGCTTCTTCTTGAATACCCATTTGTACCCTATAGGTTTGCACCCATAAGGACGATCAGTTATCTCCCAAGTTTCATTTGCCAAGATGGAATCCATCTCACTACGTACCGCTTCCTTCCAGTAGTCAGCATCTTCAGATGCATAGGCCTCTGAAATAGAATCGGGAGTGTCATCTATGAGATACACAAGAAAATCATCACCAAAGGACTTTGCGGTCCTTTGTCTCTTGCTCCTAGTAGGAACTTCAATGTTCTCCTCCACAGGATTTTTAAAGTGTTCCGTCGAAATGGCAGGTTCAGTAATTGTAACCGGTTCCTAATTCGATGAACTAGGCATATCCTGATTAGATGAGGTAGCCATATCCTTCATGGGAAAGATATGTTCAAAGAAAATTGCATCATTCGACTCCATAATCGTACCGACATGCATGTCAGGTACCTCAGATTTTATAACCAAGAATCTATGACCAATGCTATGAAAAGCATATCCCAGGAAAACATAGTCCATAGTTTTTGGTCCCAGCTTCCACTTCTTTGGAATTAGCACATTGACTTTCACCAAACAACCCCAGGTTCATAGATAAGAGAGCTTTAACCTTTTATTCTCCCATTCCTCAAATGGAGTTATCTCTTTGTTATTTGTGGGAACCCAGTTTAGGACATGACATGCAGTCAATATCGCCTCCCCCCACCATGCCTTGGAGAGACCCGAAGTGTCTAACATGGCGTTAACCAAATCAGTTAGAGTACGGTTCTTTCTTTCGGCCACCCCATTTGACTGAGGTGAATAGGGAGGCGTCCTCTCATGGATTATACCATGTTCCGCACAAAAGGAATCAAATTCATTTGAGAAATACTCTCCACCACGATCGGGCCTAAGACTCTTGATCTTTCGATCAAGTTAGTTTTCCGCTTCAACTTTATAGATCTTGAAATACTTCAAAGCCTCATCCTTATATTTTGGAAGATACACATGGCAGTATCTAGTGGAGTCATCAATTAACGTCATAAAATACTTCTTTCCACCTTTTGTCAACACACCATTCATTTCACGGAGATCTGAATGTATGAGCTCTAGTGGTGCAAGATTTCTTGTTTCCGCAGTCACATGAGACTTACGAGGTTGCTTAGCTTGCACACACACTTGACACTTAGATCCCTTGACAGTGGTGAAACTAGGGATTAAGTTCAACTTCGCTAGTCGCGACATGCAACCAAAGTTAACATGACAAAGATGTGAATGCCACACATTTGATTCACTATTGTTGCAAACATGATTAACAACTTTATTGCAAACGTCTGATAAGGATAAACGAAACAGGACTCCTGACTCATAGCCTTTACCTACAAAGGTTCCATACTTGGATATTACAGATTTATTCAACTCAAAGACAAGCTTGTAGCCATCTCTACATAGAAGATATCCGCTAACAAGATTTTTATTGACGGAGGGGACATAATGCACGTTCTTCCCTGAAGTAAACTTCAGATCGACCGTGCCAACACCACGAACAGAAGCACTTGAACCGTTACCCATCATCATGGTGGAAGTCCCTGCGGTCTGATAAGATGAAAACATGGAAATATCACCACATACATGCACATTAGCACATGTGTCAATCAACCAATCAGGAGAATGACGTACTGAAAGAATAGTGGGAAATATACCATACCCAACATCCTTCATGTCAGTGTCTCCAATGACAACATTAGCAATCTTGCCGCCATTCCCAAGATGACGCTTGTCACAGTGACTAGGGCAACTAGGAGCCCAATGATCAGGATCTCCACACACATGACAAACACCTTTCTTCTTGTCATTCTTGTTCTTGAAGTTCGTGTGTTGTACAGCCTTATTCTTCCCTTCAAACTTTGCTTTACCATCAAACTTGCCCTTGTTCTTGAACTTGTGGGGCTGGAAGTTTTTCTTCTGTACCAGATTGGCACTAGAACCTCCCTCAATACCTCGAGCACGGTTGTCCTTTGCTCTCGCCTTTTCTTCCACATCAAGAGTACCGATGAGATCCGGAACGAAAAACTCCCGCCTCTTATGCTTTAGTAAGGTAGCAAAGTTCCTCCACGTGGGAGGAGCTTAGTGATAATGCCTCCGGCAACGAACTTGTCCGGTAGCATACAATTGAAGTGCTCAAGTTCTCTAGCAAATGACTGTATCTCATGAGCTTTCTCAACCACGAAGTGCTCTTCAGTCATCCTGTAATCATAGAATTGCTCCATGATGTACAACTCAGTACCAGCATATGAGACCCCAAACTTGGCCTCGAGTGCGTCCCACATATCTTTTCCATTATCAATTGACGCATAAGCATCAACTATGTTCTCACCAAGAACACTCAAAAGAGCAGCCTTAAACAGAGTATCCATTTTCTAAAAAGCTTGTTCCCGTTGGGCATCATACTCCCCTTCAGGTTTGCCAAGAGTGGCGTCATAGCAACTCATGGTTTGAAACCATAAGACTGCTCTCACGCGCCACCTCTTATAGTGGACACCCTCAAACATAGCAGGTCTCATGGAAGCAACAAAACCGCTCGGGGTAAATTGCCTATAATAAGGTTTTTGGATTGTTGGAAATATGAGTAATTTACCGAATGATTTTATTAACAGAAATACTAGATAAAGCATGACTAGTATAGTAGAGATAAAACAAGTCATGCGGTCTGACAGAGAGAAGGTAAATAGCATCTGCATATGCGAACTAGAACCGAACATATCTAGAGCAGACAGTAGAGCAAGTTGCATAAATGAAGTAGAACTTAACATATCTAGGGCAAACACTACAACAAAGAACTGTGGCAGGACCTCTAACAGAAAGAGTAAGAACACGTATGGGACAGCAGCAGCAGTAGCACTGGACTTGGGGTCAGTGTCCTCGCCGGCCATGTCATCGAGGAGGTTGTCGACGTTGGGGAAGAAGTCGTCGGACCTCTAACAGAAAGAGTAAGAACACGTACGGGACAACAGCAGCAGTAGCACTGGACTTGGGGTCAGTGTCCTCGCCAGCCATGTCGTTGAGGAGGTTGTCGACGTCGGGGAAGAAGTCGTCGTCGCAAAACCTTATCACCCTTGGGAGGGAGACGAAGCGAACAAGCAGCATGCGAAGAGGTGCGCCGTTCATATTCAATCTCGGCTCATTCCTGCAACCCACGGCGCGGCGTGACGAGGCGGGCGGAGTAGGAGCGCACGTGAATGTCTCTCTTTTTCTAATGCTCATACATGTGATGAGACATCCTCCCTTATAAGGAGGTCCAACTCCCACTAAACTAGCAATATGAGACTAAACTTTGGTTCCACCTCTTGCCTTGCACAAATGGGCTGAGTGGGCCTCTAGGATTTATTAGAAATTTCTGAAATTGCTATTGGGCTGACCCGGAAATAGAATAAATTCCAGCAATATAACCCCTTGATGACATGAACCCAATGCTGCAGGATCCATTTTATGTCTGCTTGGAAGACAAACCATGAGATGTAGAACAACTAAAGGGTATCCTGTTTCAGATCTTAGCATTTGTGCCCCAGGAACTCGCTGCTCTGCCTCGCTGTCTATACTCTGCAGTTTGTGACAAGCCTCCAGTTCCATGTGTCTTGTCTTTGGCCTGCTTCATGGCATCAGCAACATTCAAAATTGGAGTGCATATGACATGACACAGTTTGGCCTGCGCTTTGTGGTAAGATTCTACCGGCTTTTCGCCTTGTAGTGTTGTTCTTTTTACATTCTCGCTTGCTCATGTTCAGAGATGTAATTGAGATCTTGGCCTGTATCTGACTTTTTCCTCTCTTGGAATGAACTTCTCCATTTGCACCAAGTCCCCTAGCAAAATTATATTGAGTCTAACATGTTTTTATGAGTAATTGAATAATTTTTAAACCTCTTATAAGTAATGTAAAAAGAACAAGCAGATTTCTAAACCTTTATATTGAAAAATTATATTCAATTACCTTTAGAATGAATTTCTTCATTTGCATCAAGAGAGAAAGAACATGTAAAATTATATTAACTTTCTTCTCTCTTAGAATGAACTTCTCCATTTGGGATAATTATTCAACCCCGGCCTTGTTTGGTTGTGTGTGGATCCGAGGGGTCTGTGGGGGATTTAAACTCTTATAAGTCAAACTACGTTCCAATCCTCTTGAAAGGAGGATTAATCGAACAAGCAATAAAAGATTTATATGTTTTTTCTATGAGTAATCGAATATTTTTTTAATCTTATAAAATCCAAATTGAGATGATATTGTAATTATATACTCTCCGTTTCAAATTACTTATCGTGGAGTAATTTGGAATGGAGGGAGTACGTTTCTGCCGTGCTTCTGGTTCTGAAACGAAATGTTTGTGCCGAACTCCTCTTGAGTGTATTTTCCAGTCAGTCATCATCACCGCTGGGAGCTGTGATACTGAGAAAACCCACCCAAACCCTCCCCTAACAAACACCCCCACCATGCCGCTCCGCACGCTGCTCCGGCACCTCTCGGCCGGCCAGTTCGCGCGCCTGCAGGCACTCACGGGCGCGGCCACGGCGCCGGCCGCGCACCGCGTCCTCCACCTCCTCCTCCGCACCGCGCCGGCCCCTCCCCTCCCCCACCTCGTCTCCCTCGCGCGCTGGTCCCGCTCCCACTTCCGCGCGCCTCTCCCGCTCCGGTTCCACGCGCTGCTGCTGGCCCGCCTCGCCTCCCACGGCCTCCACCCGCTGCTCCGCTCCGAGCTCCACGCCCTCGCCGCCGCCCGCCTCCACTCCCCGGCCTCCATCCTCCGCGCCCTCCCCGCGTCTTCCCCCGCCACCGCGCCGCTCATCGCCGACATGCTCGTCCTCGCGCTCGCCAGGGCCTCCCAGCCCTTGGCGGCGTACGAGGCCTTCCACCTCCTCGGCAACAACCACCCGCGCCACCGCCCCTCCGCTTTCTCGGTGAACAGCCTGCTCTCCGCCCTTTTCGCCGCGGGTCGGGTCGACCTCGCCGAGCGGGCTTTCAAGGCGGCGCTCCGGCGACGCGTGTCCCCGGACCTTTTGACCTTTAACATCGTCATCTCCGGGCTCTGCAAGGCTGGGCAACTTCGCAAGGCCGGCGATGTCGCCAAGGACATCAGGGCGTGGGGGTTGACCCCCTCTGTGGCCACCTTCAATGCTCTCATCGACGGCTACTGCAAGAAGGGTCGTGTCGGGAGGATGTACCACGTCGATGCGCTTTTGAAGGAGATGGTCGAGGCTGGAATCTCGCCCAATGTTGTTACATTCAATGTGCTGGTTACTGGGTACTGCCAGGACTCGAACACTGCTGCTGCGGTGAGAGTCTTTGAGGAGATGAAGCAGCAGGGGATTGCGCCCAGCATGGGGACATACAATGCACTTGTTTGGGGTCTCTGCAGTGAGGGCAAGGTAGAGGAAGGGGTGAAGCTGGTGGATGAGATGCAGGATCTGGGGCTGGCGCCTAATGTAGTCACCCTGAATAGTGTGCTGAATGGGTTTTGCAAAAAGGGCATAATGGTAGATGCTGAGAATTGGGTTGATGGTATGGCACAGAGGAATGTTGAACCTAACGTGGTTACTTACAATACCTTGATTGATGGATATCGCCGGCTCGGCAAAATGAAGGATGCGGCGGCGGTGAAGGAGGCGATGGCAGGGAAGGGGATTAGTCCAAATGTCAGAACATACAATTGCCTGATAGCTGGGTTTGACCAGAGCGGGGATTGGAGGAGTGTTTCTGGTCTTCTCGATGAGATGAAGGAGAAAGGTGTTAGAGCTGATATTGTCACTTACAATACACTTATTGGTGCCCTGTGCTGCAAAGGGGAAGTACGTAGAGCTGTAAAGCTCTTGGATGAAATGTTGATGGTTGACTTGGAACCAGAGCATCGGACTTACAACAACATAATAAATGGGTACTGTGAGAAGGGGAACATTAAGTCTGCCTATGAAATTAGGACCAGGATGGAGAAAGGTAGGAAACGGGCAAATGTGGTCACATACAATGTGTTCATCAAGCACCTTTGCAGAATGGGGAAGATGGAGGAGGCTAATGAGCTCCTGAATGAGATGTTGGAGAAAGGTCTCGTTCCAAATAAGGTTACCTATGAAATAATCAAGGAGGGGATGATGGAGAAAGGTTACGTTCCTGATGTAAGAGGATTCGCTTGCTCAGAAGCCTCTCAAAATCTGACATCCTGAAACGCTTGGTATGTTCGAGTAATGTACCAACATAGCTTGTCTGTACCTACTTATACCTAGCAAACAAAGCAAGTAAATGGCAAGTTGGATTGTTGTTGAAATGAGAAATTGGCAATCCCTAATTCTGCTAGGTCATAGTTTACCCACTGCTTTTAGGTTTGGATGTTATCATTTGGTCCTTATGTGGTATAACCTAGGAGTTACTCTGTTCTTTGGTATAGTTCAGCCATTAACATCGTTCTCAATCCAACTACCTTGCAGTTCACAGTTTTAAGTTTTAATGCTTGGTATTTTCTTGGACCCAGTCTTTTTGGTGTGCACAATGTGTTCACATTGAAGGAAGTAAACTGAAGCGAACCAGGCAAACTTGAGCATCTGTTTATGCGTGCTTATTAGTGGTAATGTCATACTAGCATTCATTTTAGCTTTCAGAGTACTTAGCACGACAGTATGACACTCCCCTATGCTTCCTATTTAGCATCACACAGGAAGTGAAGACCAGAGGCAAATACCTGTGCAACTCTATCTGACAGATCCATGAATCTGAAAGTGCTCACCTAGTACTGCGCCTCCTGGACACTACACTGATCTCTTACTGTATAGCCTACGTTTGAAGGATTCCTTTAGATAATGGAAAAAAATTATTAGTGTGTTTACCTTAAGGTTAGGAGCCACTTTATTTGGTTCAGCATATATAAGGGCGACAAAAAATCTGATGAAATTTCCTCACTTGTCCTTGAGCAGAAGACTGGTTGTGTTTCCCAAGAATAGAAGTAATATTTACGGTCCCCAGTAGTCACACAAATGAAATGCAACCAGGAGTCCACACCCTGATGGTGGAAACAAGATTTGGGGCTTCCATCTCCCCTGTGAGTCCTATGAGGTGCAGCAAAATGTTTATCACCCACATAATGAACTCAAAAAACATCATGTGCATATCAAGGCTTATGCACACTTTTTCTCCATTAATATTGTTTGTCTTGCTGATGGTTCTAACCAGCAAGTGGGGTATTGCATATTGTGCTGTTGCTCAGCAGATGTTTCTGAGCCCCAACCCTGATGGTTGATTTAGGGTTCCAAATCATTTCGAGGTTGTAAAAATCTCACATGAGAAATGGGAATAAGTAGTAATTCTTTTGCAAAGCACCACCACTGGCTTATCAGCATCTTGTAAATTTGCCTGCTTTACCAGGAACTATTTGTTGTAGTCTGATGCTTTTACTGGTATAGGTACCTGCTGTACAGCCTTCAGCTTATGTGTCCGCACAACTATTCTCAAGTGACAAATCATGCAATAAACCTCCTCTGCTCTTGTGATCTGAATGTACAAAAGCTCAGTACGTACAGTGAAGTTGGACCCTTCACTGCTGTTTGTTTACTACCGGTTTTGCAAACTGGGGTGGGCAAGGATTCTGATCGGATTTCGGAGAGTGCTGGATGGGCAGTTGCCATTGTCAGCAACAACTACAATAACAACAGCAATAAAAAGGAAAGAGAAAGTATAACTAAACAGAAAATAGGCTTATCTGCCATCTGTTGGGAGGACAAGAAACAATATGGTTTCAGACAGGGCTGCACGCAGGGTTGAAATACAGGCGGATAGTTTCCACATGGTCTGGAGCCAAATCGGGGCAAATTGAAATTCTGAAAGAAAATTTACTGTTTGGTCGGAGTTAAATCCAGATTCAAGTAGCTATCTGCTGGATACGGATATTTCCTGGATTTGGCCGGCAGTTTCCTGAATTTGAAATCCAAAGGTATGATACATTTCATCCTTGTCTTTTTTATGTGCAAATCATATTAGCATATGAGGAGTGCTTCCATGCTCTTCCAAAATTAGATTGCAAGGGCAAATTATTATTGCAGTAAGTTCTGATGCCCAAGTCCCACGATCTTTTGCTTTGTTCACCGACCGGCCTCTCCTCCAGTGGCGCCTCGCCATGATCCACCTCCAGCAGCCTAGTGTGAAGTCGCTCTAGCGTGCCACTGCAGCTTCCTTCCGTGCTTCAACCAGGCGGACTATGCACCGTCCAGCCAGTGGATGCCTGTATCGACGACCTCTTTGCGCTTATTGCACTCGTGGAGCAGATTGGTAGATTGAGTGGCTCGTCGTGTCACTGCTGGTTTTATTGTAAGTACCCCCTCTGTACCAAAATGTAAAACGTTTTTTTGGTTTTGCATAGGGCATAAAAAGCGTTTTACATTTTGTTACAGAGGGAGTATGTTGCTGCAACAATCGTGTAATTCTTGTCAGTAATGCTTCTCACCGTTTTCCTCCTGCTCGAGGGTTTGAATTGGATGGCTCAAGGTTGATACTTTGCAACGCTACCCAATTGCTTCTTTGTATTAGCCAGCTGTTGATTACTGAATTTTTATTCCTCGTTAGAAGCACTGCAGGAACATGTGTATTTAATAAAGTACGATGATTGTTCAAGCAACAAGGAATTACACAGGAATATGCAAGTATGTAATGAATCGGATAGAGATATTTACAATCATAGTAGCGGCCGTTAAAAAAAAACTACAGGCTGTACTTGTGCGGTGATTGAATTATTCTGATTGTTCCCTAATTCTTGTCATTCTACTGCAGCCATACTGCACATCTGCTCTACTCAGGACCGTTGATGGTCTCAGATTGGATGGTTTGACTGTTTCAGGTATGTTCTTGATCACCTCAACTGTGGCTCCAACCATCAACATAGTGGGACCACTAACGAATCCCCCGTGATTCACATTGCTTCGTTGGTTAATTAGTTTGTGCCATATACAGTTGATGTAATGTTTACAATCTGTGATATACAAATTGACAAATCTATTAATAAAAAATCGTGTATGTTCACCTGTAAACATATGCAAGATTTTCCATGATTGATTCGGATGACGTTGGAGTTCTTAGGAGCTGCAAGAATACATATATCTTGCTTTGCTAATGACAAATTTATAATGTATTGTATCAGTGGTTATTTTGGAAGAACTTCTGCTCCTTTTGACAGCTGAACTGAAACCATCTGCCATTGATATTAATAGCTACCAGATTTATTTATTTGAAACGGAGACAAAAGCCTCATATATTGATTAAGAGGAGGAAAGAGTCTGTGTTACAAGAGACCCACAAGCATGAACACAATTACTCTTCCAAGATAAAAGCCCCTAAATATTTCGCACCCGCGGTTACCAAAGCTTCATTTCGTTGATGATCATGTTGAGCAAGATTGTGGGGGAGCATTTCTCTCATTCCAAATTGTCCATGATACAAGCATATTGAGGGAGGCCATGACTTCTCTATGGGGAGTGCCCACTTCGGAGCGATTAATCCACCAATCGTTGACGGAGCTCTCCAAATGCCACAAAGATGGGTCAATGCTATTAAGATGAAGCTTGCTGATCACCAAGCACCAAAGCCGAATAGTAACCGACACTTGGGAAAGAGATAGTCACACGATTCTTGCACCGCCTTGCAAAACAGGCAAAGATCATCCCTGTTTGGGCAGCCTATTGGCGGTCCAAATGCGGCCTTGCATAGCCGACCAAGCAAAGAACTTGACCTTTGGGGTGCCCAAACTTTTCCAAACCGCATGCTCCATTGATGAGCGAATCTTTCCCAAGAATTGTGCCTTGTATGCAGATGCCGTCGAATATTGTCCATTAGCTGTGTGTTTCCACACAATATTACCATCAACGTGTGCAAGAAGACGCACCTTATGAAGAAGCATCCAAAGCTTGAAGAATTCACAGATGTGCTGGGCGGTGACGATGGTAGGAGGTTTGATTTCGAAGATCCACGCGTTGTAAGTGCTTCCCTCACTTTCCAATTTTTCTTGTGAACGCCTCGTATATAAGTGGAGCGATATCCATAGGCTTTTGCCCAAGGAGTTAAAGGGAGCTCCAGAACGGCGTTCTCGCTCCGTTGCCAATGGTGATGATGGAAGCATAGAAAAAGTTGCACAGATTGCTCATCCCCACCCACAACTTGAATGGCTTCTTTCACTCATACCATGGCCATCGGAGCCTAAGAGCGCGCAAATTTGTTGGTGTTGAGCACTCCTAGACCTCCATATTCAAGAGGCCGGCAAACCACCTCCCAATAGACCTTGCATTTAGCGCCGGTTGTTTAGTCTGAAGTGGACCAAATAAATGCTTGCTTGAGAATGTTGACGTCATGGAGTATACTTGGCGGCAGCACAGTTGGGGTGATGAAGGAGATTGCTTGGGAAGTGATCTCGGACTTGACGAGAGCCGTGCGCCCAATGAAGGTTATGTTTTGACCCCCCCAAGTGACGAGCTTGCTCGCAACCTTGACTACAAGATATTGAAGGCCCACTTTTTTGAGTTGCCAAATGCAGAGTGGAAGCCCCATACATCGCATGGGGAAGGAAGCTCTAGTTGTCGGTAAGCTTTGCAAGATGAAATCAAGGTTGATATGGCTGCATTGAATGGGCACTACTGAGCTCTTATGAAAGTTAGTGCATAGGCCCGTAATCTCCCCAAATCCTCTCAGAATGGATGCACGACTATCAATGTCACCCTCGATAGGGGCCATAAAGATTGCCACATCATCCACATATAGCGGTGTTCTCACCATGGTGCCTTTCCCTCGGATCTTGTGTAGTATACCCTTCTTAGTTGTCAGTTCGAGCATTTGCTGCAGGGGTAGGGGGTCCCCTTGACGATGGCCACGACCATTCTTGATGGAAGGTCCGGTCACACCATTGAGAAGGATCCGCGAAGATTTTGTGCCGAGAAGAGCGGTAACCTAATCGCAAAATTTTCTTGGGAACCCACACTTTTGGAGAAGATTTAAGAGGAGCGAGGGGGTCTTCCTCTTATGCAACCACCGAGCTTGAAGAGGAGCTTGAAGAGGAGCGAGGGGGTCTTCCTCTTATGCAACCACCGAGCAAAGGTTCCACACTTACATGAAGTTGTCGTGTATAATCCTTTTGATGAAAGCACTTGGAGCATTCGAGACAAGTGCGTTCATATGCGGGTCTAACTGGAGAGAG